AAAGACCCAAAACTCTGTGGCTCCTATAGGCCCATAGCCCTCTTGTCATCAGAATATAAGATATTTACCAAGGTTATAGCTACCAGACTGGAGAAAGTGATCCCTAGTCTTATAACTAAGGACCAGACTGGCTTCATCCAAAACCGCTTTTCCTCTGATAACATTCGTAGGTTCCTTAATATTATTCACTGTGCAGAACAAATTGATATGCCTGTCATTGCCCTTTCCTTAGACGCCGAAAAGGCATTTGATCGTTTAGAATGGCCCTTTCTTTTCGCAGTTTTACAAAAATTTAACTTTGGCCCAAACTTGATACGAATGATACAGATGCTATATCTCAACCCATCGGCGATGATTCGAACAAATACTGATACCTCATCTCTCTTCCCTCTCTCACGGGGTACGCGCCAGGGCTGTCCCCTGTCTCCGCTCCTCTTCGCGCTGGCGGTTGAGCCGCTCGCAATTGCTATTAGAGCACACCCTGCCATAGAGGGCATTATGGTTGAAAATGAAAAACATATCATCTCGCTATATGCTGATGACATTATACTGTACTTGACTAATGTGGCGTCATCTCTCCCCGCCCTCTGCACCCTGTTAGATGAATATAGCTGCATTTCTGGGTACAAAATAAACAAACATAAAAGTATGGTAATGCCTCTAAACCCAGCTGCCCAAAGATTATCAAGGGGAAACATTTATTTTTATTGGGAGCCCTATAAGCTCTGTTATCTTGGTGTACAGGTACCCAATCAATTACATCAGATTTATTTTCTCAACTATGAACCCCTGCTCAAAAAGGTGGAAGCAGAGTTGGAAAGGTGGAAGTCTCTACCTATATCCCTAATTGGACGAATAAACTGTATAAAAATGAATGTTCTACCTAAATTTCTTTACCTATTTCAAGCGCTTCCAACTCCAATCCCCAAAACCTTTTTTAAAAATCTGGACAGACTGATTTCTAGATTCTTGTGGAATGGTAAAGTTCCCAGAGAAAAACTCAAAACCCTCTGTCGCCCCACTGAACAAGGAGGTCTAAACCTGCCTGACTTTCAATTATATTATTTGGCTGCTCAATCCAGAGCTGTTTGGACTTGGATAAAAAATTTAGAGCATCCTCCAGCCTGGAAACAGATCGAACAATCTCATACAGCAGAAATATTGTCAAGCATTCCATTTATTCACTCCTATCACAGTCAAAAAAAGGTAACTCAAAACCCAATGATAAAACACACATCCAAAATATGGCATGAAATCAGAGCAAAATTCCAAAGTGTCCGCGCAATATATAGGTCTACTCCATTTCATTTTAATCGTGTTCTACCTGGGGCACTGAGAGATGGCATTACCAGAGACTGGTATAACAGAGGCATATGTACATTTGGACATCTATATGAGCTCGATAATCTGAAATCCTTTGAACAACTGAGAACCTCTTTTGGGATCCCCTCGGCGCACTTTTTTAAGTTTCTACAAGTTAGAGAGTGCAGCAGGGTGGGAAACTTACCTCTTTAGAGGATTTTCAAGTAGAGAGTATGATACAAGACAAGCATAATCCTAAAGGCTTTTTATCCTATGCTTATAACAGACTCATGAGCCTGGCAGAAAACAAAACTCTTAATGTGAAAGTTAAGTGGGAAATGGACATTGATTATGCTTTCGAGGACTTTGAATGGGAAGAGATTTGTAAGAGCTCTCAATCATTCTCCTACAACAGTAGACACAAACTCTTGCAGTTTAATCTTATTCACAGGGTTTATCTGACACCTCAGCGCCTTCATAGGATAAGTAGTAGCTACTCGGAATACTGTCCCAGATGTAAGACTGAAGTAGGTACTCTTGTACATATGTTCTGGACATGCAGAAGTCTGGAGCAGTACTGGAGATCCATCTTGGACATAGTTAAAACAATTGTGGGGGTGGAAATCCCAACCAACCCACGACTGACACTATTGGGGGATCTATCAGTTTTGCCAATCAATGCGAGAGGTAATACTCGCTTTATCAGACTAGCCCTGATCGCAGCTAATAAATGTATAGCCATTCACTGGAAAAATGAGGAGTCCCCTGGGGTTTCTTTGTGGCTTAGAGAGCTCTCATCATACTTAACGTCAGAGAAGATCATGTTTAATCTTAAGAAAAAGCCGTCACTCTTTGATAAATGTTGGGGAGGATTTTTAACCTTTCTACGTGACAGATTATCTCTCAACTGTGATGCCCAGGGTCAAACTTGAAAATTGTGCTGCAGGGTCCTTTAGGGAGTTGCTGGCACTCGTGGGTGTTTGGGGCAATAAATGATACAGCTTCATCCAAGCCTTTTCCTGTTGGTACCTTTATACTTTTTATCCTGTTTTTAATTTATTTTATTTTTATTAATTTATTCTTACATATGGTACATGTGCCACAACTGTGAATGTAGCATTTTTGTAATAATTGCTATCTTATTTTAACTTGTTTGTCTCACTTTTATTTTTATTTTTATTGTTATTTTTTACTTATTTATTTATTATTATTATTATTATTATTTTTTTTTTTCCTTTCCTTTTTATTTTTCTCTTGTTCTCTGTGTATGTCACAGACATTTGGGGTGGCGGGGTGAGAGGGGTTTGATGTTAAATTGTGATGACTCCATTACATTGTTGTTGGATTTTGTTGTTGTTGTTGTTGTTATTGTTTTGAAATCTTAATAAATAAACTGTAAAAAAAAAAAAAAGTTATCTTTACTCTACATCCTGATTATTATTGAACACTGTTTACTGCACATACTGTAAACGTACTGTAAAATACAACTGTAATAAAAACATGAACCTGAAAGAAAGTCATATGAGTAGATTTAATACATTGTTGTAACTGAAACAGAACAGCACTTTAAAAATAACATTTGTAATACCCTGAGATCATTGACACTGATTTAAAGAACACCAACAGGCCTCCAAAGACAGCAGGAACAATAACAAAACCAATTTTCATGTCAAACTTCAATCTGCAAGTCTTCCAAAGTCTTCAAGAGCAATCAAATACATTTTCATCATTCACATTTCTATGTGCAATTCAAATTATCTAATATCTGTTGTTTATTAATAAATGATATCAAGTGAAATTGCACAAATGATGTAGCTGAATGAGAACAGTGTTGAGTGCTGAAACTCCTCCTCCTCCACTTCTCCTCTCCTCAGTGTCTTTATAAGCTTCAGTCTCTCTTCTCCTCACACTCCAACCCTGCTCACCTCTCAGCTGGACAGTAAGGGACGTTTACACCACACACTGACAACATGCTGGGGACCCTCTGCACTCTCATCACTGCTCTAACATGTAAGATATTCTTCTCATTCCTTTTAGCCCATATTTTCACACAGAAACCTTTCACTCATGTATTTGTCTGTGTATGTTGACAGATGTTGATGCAGTGATAGTGCTGACCCAGACGCCTGCTGTCCACACAGTTTCTACAGGACAAGAGGTTGTTCTCAACTGCAACATTGAGAGATATGATGGAAATTATGTTAGTTGGTATAAACAGGTTCCTGGTGGAACTCCTCAGCATGTTCTGAGATTTCACTATTCTGGCAGTTCACTTTCCTTTGGAACAGGATTCTCCTCAGACCGATTCAACTCTAAAGCCTCATCAAATATAGATTACCAGTTCATCATTAAGAGGGCAGAGACAGGAGACTCTGCCGTCTATTACTGTCAGACATGGGACGACTCTGCTTCTGCAGCTGTATCACAGTGATTTACACTGTGACAAAAACCTCTTCACCATCTACTTCTGCTTTTATAGAGTCTGACAAATCAACTTAGGCTCTCTATTGAAAAATGAATAGAAACCATTTTCATTAATGTAATCTTAAAAGACCAATTTAATTTAAAAGTAATTTAAACTTAGATATTCAATGATGAATTAAATGTTCATTGTTTTCTGTATTTCACTTTGTTCATTTCACTGGGACTTTTTTTTTTTTTTTTGTAGCAGACTTTGTAATGTTGTGTTCACAGGTTTTTGTGAAAATCAAGTCAGACAACTCAGCCTGTCCAGAATGTTGCTGCCAGAGTCCTAATTAACACCAGATAAGTAGAACACAGTATAAACCGGTTCACAAATCACAGCACCGGCTTCCTGTCTGTCAAAGGATATATTTTAGGTCATCTGGAAAAGGGTGACTCAGTGCTCCCAGGGTCAAAACCAAGGAACAAGCTTCCCAAATATCTGAGATCTTCTAAAACGGTCCGCTCATTTTAATCTGGGCTCAATACAATATTATTTACTGCGGCTTACCAATAAATTTCATACATAGCTTCTTAATATTTAACTATGTATTTGCTAGTTTTCTTTTTGTTTTTAATGTCTTTTATATGCAGCTCTTGTGTTTTCTAAATGTCTTATTTTTCATGTATTTTCATGCCCGTCAACTTTGAATTGCCTTGTGTCTTAATCCTGCTATAGAAAAAATCTTGCCTAGCCTTATGATTAATGAACAAAGATACACAAGAATAATATATAGAAGGATACAAACACTATAACACAAATTTAAAAACAAAGACAATGTAATTATCCTGATGTCTATAAACTGTGATAGAAAGATACACATAGATGTACCTGATATCACTATTGGAGTAGATCAAATTTCAACTCTTTATGAGCAATTATATACATTTCTCACAGGTTTCTTTACTCTCTGGTTAAACAAGTAGGCAGAGTCAGAAGTTCTGTTTCTTCTCTGCTGTGTTTGTTGGATTTCCCCCCAGCCCTCATTCTGCTCTGCTTCCTCCTTTTTATCTATTTGGGAAGGTGATTAGTACTTGCAGGTGTGCCAGGTTGCTGCAGGGGGAGGTCCTTATCCACACTGGAGAGAGAGACACTTCAAATAAATAAAATAAAAGTTATCCAGTATGTCTTGTTTCTTACCAACTGTGAAACTGAACAAATTATGTAACTGATTAATGAATGAAAACAGTGTTGAGTGTTGAAACTCCTCCTCCTCCACTTCTTCTCTCCTCAGTGTCTTTATAAGCTTCAGTCTCTCTTCTCCTCACACTCCAACCCTGCTCACCTCTCAGCTGGACAGTAAGGGACGTTTACACCACACACTGACAACATGCTGGGGACCCTCTGCACTCTCATCACTGCTCTAACATGTAAGGAGGCTGACTTACTGCAGCTTTGAGCTCATGTTGGATTCATCAGTCTGTGTGTTTCTCTTGACTCCATGTCATCTTGTTGTTTCCAGGTGTGAGTGGTGTGACGGTGGTGACACAGAAGCCTCCTGTTGTGACGCTGAGGAAGGAGAGACAGCCACCATGGACTGTAACCTGGGGACTGTTACTGGTAGTTCTGCTCGCTGGTATAAACAGATTCCAGGAGGAGTTCCTCAGTTTGTCTTATATTTTTATCACAGCTATAGCTCTCCAACCTATGGTTCTGGTTTCTCCTCTCCAAAGTTCACATCTACTCATCAGTCACAATCAGATTATCGTTTGATCATCAACAATGTGGAGGAGGGAGACTCAGCAGTCTATTACTGTAAAACATGGGACAGCTCTGTTAATGAGTGGGTATCACAGTGATTTACACTGTGACAAAAACCTCCTCACTGAATACTTCTGCTTTTTGAGTCTTTCACACATCTTGACTGGGAGAATGCAAACAGCCAGTGCTTTCTGTAACTTTATGTCATAAAATGATACTGTAAAAATTCTAAACCCTTTTTACTAGATTTTCACATAAATATTTAGCACAACCTCATTGGCAGTTGGCTGTGATATGCACATTATTGTTGTAAAGTCATTGTTTACAGTAAATTGAATGTCTTGTAGTCACAAGAAAAGATTAAAGTTTTCAACACTTATTATATAACACACTCTTGTTTTCTGATCTAAATTCAAATAATATAAAGAATCTTTGTTGATGTAAATCCTCTGGTGCACATGAAGTAATGGTTATTATACTTACAAACTTTAATAGGCCCAAAGTTGAACTAGCACCCAAAAATTCAAAAAACAAAGACATTGTGCAAATAAAACGCAACCAAATGAAAATCTGCTGACAGATCACAAATTCACAGATTAATGAGTTCCAATAAATTGATAACAGGACTCATTCTTAATATAGATCATGTTAAGTAATGTTTACTCTGATTCATATTGAACAGTATTTATTGCACATAGCTACTGTAACATACAGCTGTAAAAAAAAAAAAAAAACATGAAGCTGAAAATATAACCTAGAAATATAAGATTGTTGATATTTAATGATTCAATGACACAATGTGTAACCACAAACACAATGTAATTTATCTATGAATGAAAACAGTGTTGAGTGTTGAAACTCCTCCTCCTCCTCCACTTCTCCTCTCCTCAGTGTCTTTATAAGCTTCAGTCTCTCTTCTCCTCACACTCCAACCCTGCTCACCTCTCAGCTGGACAGTAAGGGACGTTTACACCACACACTGACAACATGCTGCGGACCCTCTGCACTCTCATTACTGCTCTAACATGTAAGATATTATACTCATTGGGCTTTATAGCCCATATTTTCACACAGAAACCTTTCACTCATGTATTTGTCTGTGTATGTTGACAGATGTTGATGCAGTGATAGTGCTGACCCAGACGCCTGCTGTCCACACAGTTTCTACAGGACAAGAGGTTGTTCTCAACTGCAACATTGAGAGATATGATCGCAGTTATATCACTTGGTATAAACAGGTTCCTGGTGGAACTCCTCAGCATGTTCTGAGATTTCACTATTCTAGCAGTTCAATTTCCTTTGGAACAGGATTCTCCTCAGACCGATTCAACTCTAAAGCCTCATCAAACATAGATTACCAGTTCATCATTAAGCGGGCAGAGACAGGAGACTCTGCCGTCTATTACTGTGATACATGGGAATACTCTGCTGCTGCAGCTGTATCACCGTGATTCACAATGTGACAAAAACCTCAATGAGAAACTCGCCTGCAACGTTTATGAATTCTGAGAACATTTTCACATTTGTTATTCTCAGTTTGATTCTGATAACTGAACTTTTAACAGAACCATGAAAACAAAAGGATGCAACAGAAGATTCAGAACCAGTCCTCAAGTCCAGCAGTGTTTCTGAATGTAAGCAGACTGATGAAGTGAATGAGATGTTGACAGTGAAAGTTGGTCTCAACAGGATGTTTCAGTTCCACTCCCCTCATTAGTGAGAGTCAGGAGGTTTTTGTACAGCCATGTATACAAACTGAATCACTGTGGTATTCGGACAAGGCACCAAGCTGATTGTGACAAGTAAGTTCCTTTTAACTGATTGTAAAACAGGACAGATTTTCTGATTGTAATTTGTACGAATAGAAAATTAATATTATATTTGTTACTATGTTTTAAAAGCATTTAATACAGTATTAAATCATTATAGGGTTGATGTTGTTTTCTCAGCTTTCATACCAAGCTGTTTTGGAAGAAAACTGAAAGTTTTTCAAATGTTTTATAAAAAGTTCAGTACAGTTATTTTCATAACTTGTGACGAACTTCAAAATTACAAAACAATTCTAGCCCTGTTACATAATCTATTATGATAGCATTATAATATCAGAACTACACTGCTGAGAATCAGCACACTCAGAATTCAAATATCATTTTGTAAGTCACAGAAGGTGACTATCCAACAGCATATTTTGTTTGCTCTAAAAAATGTTTTTAACTACTTGTGAAGCAATAGTTATTAAGCAACTCCTTATCCAAATGTGTAGATTAGCTAATTATTATATAATGATTACTTTATTAACAAGTTAGTGAGGAACATGTTAGGAATGATTTGATAATTGAATAATCGTTAATAATTACTGCTCTAACAATTTATATATATGTATGTATAATAATGATGAATTACAAAAGAACAGACTGGGAGATAATATATTAATGACTCATTGGGAAATAATTAATTAGTAAATATACACTTTACTTCGTTAGTAACCAAACTACGCAGTATTATGTATTACTTTACTTGGGGTGCACAGAAACAGTAATTCATTTACATAGGATATAATATAATATAGTAATTTGTTCCTCACATGTTTCTGAATTAACTCATCATTGGCTCAAATTTGATAAGTTATTAATTAGTGACTATTTGTTCTTTAGTATTTCCTCATTAATTCCTAATTTGTTGGCCTTGTAACTACTCAGAATTATCTGTCCTTTATTTTTAATTTTTCTCAATGATTTGCTTTAAGGTTATTTTAATGAATGTCCTTCATGTATTTTCAGGCTCCAGCCTCTCTCCTCCTGTCCTGACAGTCTTCCCTCCGTCCAGCGCTGAGCTCCAGTCCAACACAGCCACTCTGGTCTGTCTGTCCATTTTGCCCAGTGGGTCTAAGGGTTTTGCAGATGTGAGTTGGGTGTCTGGTGGGAGTCCAGTGAGCAGTGGGATCTCTACCAGCACCGCTGTTCAGAAACCAGACCAGACTTTCCAAATCAGCAGCTATCTGGCCATCCAGACGTCAGACTGGAACATGGATAAGGTTTACACATGTAAAGTGTCTTTGGGCTCCCAGACTTCAGAGAAAAACATCAAGAAGTCAAACTGTCCCACTGAATAATAGCAGAGGAGCAGAATGACCATTTCTAACCTGCTTCTTTACTGTTTTTGCTGTTTGCTCATTACAAGGTTTACATGTTAGAAAAGATGTGTCTGCATGCTTGTAATAAATGTTGTGACAGTTAGGTGGAGGTGTTATATCAGCTTTGCAACTGCTGCATTTTTCAAGATTCATTCAATAAAAAAATACAAAAAACTGTGAACAAAAAGTTTTTCTATTTATTTGATTTATTGAAAACATAATTTGAAACAATAATGTTCTACACAATATTGTAACCTTTACCAAGTTACAGATATATTTATAATTCTTACTTGAATGTGTATATTTAAATTCTGAAAACTACGTTGTCATTAGATGTTAATTTATAATAAAAGCACAACAGAGAGATTAATATTACGTTGCCTGCTTTTAGTTTCTTGCAGTAGTTCAGACGTTAGAAAAATCTGATCAAATGAGAAAATGAAACTTAGTTTTCATCCTCCGTCAGTGAAGCATCACCTCTCTACTCCTCCCTCTCTTCCTTCCCAGGATGCACCTGCAGGCCTCCTCTCCTTATTTATAGCTGCATGTAAATGAAGATGTCAAGGGTCAGCTATCATTTGGTGACATATAATGTGTGTATCTTATCTACAGAGCCAAGACCTATATTCTGCAAAGGATATCCACTTTCCAGACTTGGATATTATATAATGGTGTTTTTATTTCTGAAGTTAAGTTGCAGTAAATCTTTATCTGATATTTTGAAAATACACCTTAAACTAATTCCATTAATTAACAACTGGACACAGCAAAAATACACAACTCTGAAACTGATTTTCTCACATCATTAATTTCATAACGGTACTTTTAGAAACAAACATGGAATGTAATAAATACATACATACAATTATCTGCACAGATATGAGACCAACAAATCAGTAATGTCAGAAAACATATTATAAGGAGTATGCTGCTTTGAAATGAGTGAAATCTAGCAGTGTCATATGCAGACTGAAAGTATTTTATTTCCAAAGCTCCTCCTCCTGTCAGTCACTCTCAGTTTCAGTGTTGTATTAAATTGCTCCTCCAGCACCTCCTCTCCTCATCCTCCAAACCCTCTAATCTGTCAGCAGTACGCTCACTTTCCAAGTTACAAGGCCATTCTCAGCACACACTGACAACATGCTGGGGACCCTCTGCACTCTCATCACTGCTCTAACATGTAAGGAGGCTGACTTACTGCAGCTTTGAGCTCATGTTGGATTCATCAGTCTGTGTGTTTCTCTTGACTCCATGTCATCTTGTTGTTTCCAGGTGTGAGTGGTGTGACGGTGGTGACACAGAAGCCTCCTGTTGTGACGCTGAGGAAAGGAGAGACAGCCACCATGGACTGTAACCTGGGGACTGTTACTAACACTTATGCTCACTGGTACAAGCAGATTCCAGGAGGAGTTCCTCAGTATGTGTTGAGGTTTTATCACAGCCATAGCTCTCCAAGCTATGGTTCTGGTTTCTCCTCTCCAAAGTTCACATCTACTCATCAGTCACAATCAGATTATCGTTTGATCATCAACAATGTGGAGGAGGGAGACTCAGCAGTCTATTACTGTAAAACATGGGACAGCTCTGTCAGTGAGTACGTATCACAGTGATTTACACTGTGACAAAAACCTCCTCACTGAATACTTCTGCTTTTTGAGTCTCTGACACATCTTTACTGGGAGTGAAACATCCAGCTAATGTTTTCTGTAACTTTCCCACTTATACATAAAAACATATCTTTAAACTTTAAACTCTTTCATTGGATTCTCACATAGATCCTTCCTAGTGGTAGTTACATACATTACGCAATGCGTACATGCTATACATGTCTCTTGTCACTCATCATGAATGAATTAAGTTAAAGAAAATGTGTCTCATTTGCTGATCCAACTTTAGGAAATGTAAAAAATCATTCTTGATATAAATCCTCTGCTGTAGTGATGATTATTACTTGTATTAAAACTGTAGTTGCATTTTGTTTCATAACCACGTTCAAAGATCATCTGGCAACCAAATGTTACAAAAACTAAAAGTGATTTCATGTACAGCTAAAACACAACCAGATGAAGATGTTTCATTCACCTGACAATATGTCATATTGAATATAGTGACTCTTCAGTGAGAGCAAATTAACTGAGACGAGAAATAAACAGCTTCATGAACTCTATACCCTGCTTATTACTGTTCTCGCATACTGTAATAAACAAAAGAAACTCATGGATAAAATAATATTCAGCAGGTGATCATATCAAGTTAATTTCTTGCTAATAACACAGCTTGTTTAAAAGACAAACAATTTATAGAAAGAGTAATAATTTTGATGAAAATAATATTAGAAGGATTCCAATAACAACAGGAACAACAAAAATATGACTTTCACTATCCATCAGGATTCATCTGAACAAACTGGATAAACACTCAACATCATAGCTTTGATATTGATAATAGAGAACTTAAACATTTGCATTTAAACCATGGGTAACACTTTATAATGAGTACACACTATAAAGCATTAGTTAAGCATGAATAAATAATGAATTCATCATTTATAACGCATGAATACACATTAGTATGTAGTTTATAAACACAGGTTGAAAGCTATCGTTAGCTTGTCAGTAGCTTCAGGTGCCGACCGGTACCGACCCGCCGCTGCTAGGCACTCACCTCGCCCGGCTAGACGAGACTAGACTAGGTCGGCTTAGCCACCGCGGGCGGGTCGGTAACGGTAGTAACGTTACTAACATTAGTCGGGAGCGAGAGCAAACACCTGCAGCTGCTGACAAGCTAAATTTAGCTTTCAACCATAATGTGTGCTACCAAACAAAGACACATACTCTCCACTAGAGCCGCTGACGGCCGCCGACTCCAATGTGCTTCTCCATGCTCCCCTTGGCTGCACTGTCAGAAACTTCTGAGAGTTAACGTAAATATGACGTAACATCACGTTGATGACGTGCTGAGAGCGGGAGCTCAACGTACACGTCCCAAACAGATAAGATCACAACAATAGCATGTCTTCATAAACCACCCTTGTTCGTCTCCATACAATATGTTGGGAAGTTGCAGTAAATATCAATACAATATGTTCTATATCCCTTTGTGTTGTGTCTCTCCTTCGTCTGTTAAGATAACTGAACATTTTGTGAGTCTCGAGGCATTGTCAGCCTTTATATCTCATTTGTAAATGCTTTATAAGCCATAGATAGTGCTCACTTTAGATGAGCTCGCACAAAATACTTAATAAACGAGTAGTAAGTGCTTTGTAACTGGGAATTCCTGCATTAATCACTGTTTATAGGCCATCAGTAGAAAATTAATTCGTTGTGAGTTTTATAGAACATCTGCTAACACAGTCACTAATCATTAATACATGTCTGAATAGTGGATGTGCAAGTGCATGCAGAAATGTACAGTACAATGAAGAGTAAAACATTTATAACTGTGATTATAAACCACATAGTAATGACTATTTACAGCAGAATCAGGCTTTATAAATGATGAATTCAGTATTTACTAATCCATAACTAATGTGCTTATTAATGATGAATAAAACATTTTTAACTGTGTTTATAAACTACATAGGCTACTAATGTGTATTCAAGCGTTATAAATGATGAATTCATTATTTATTCATGCTTAACTAATGCTTTATAGTGTGTACTCATTATAAAGTGTTACCAAACCGGGTAGTCTTCGTTATTTATTTCTTTTTTACTGGACCTATTTACAACATAGTCCGATTTAACATAAATTATAAATGAATGAAGGAGTGATTGAGTGTGGTCCGTCCTTAATGTAAAAATACAGAAAGTTCAAAGAGAACATTCATGTGATAACACAAGTGGATTTAATACTCAAAGGACATCAGCAGACTTCTAAAAGCAATGTGAAGAAATGTTTGTTATGAAACAGGACATTTCACATGAGTTATGCAAAACCTCCCATGCATGATTTTGTTGATTAATGAATGAAAGAGAATCTGAAAAAATCTGATTATTATTGCACAATGTTTACTGAACTTAATGTAACAGACAGCTGTGAGAAAGCATGTACATGAAAACTAATGAAGATGTATTTAGTATGTGATTATATTTACTATTTCTTGAAACATGAAACAGAACAACACTACAAAAAGAACATTTGTACCACCACTGAGATTATTCACACTGATAAAAGGACATCAGCAGGCCTCCAGTTACATCAGGAACAATGACAAACACACTGATTTGTGGATATGATGTGAAACACATACATTCTGTCATTTATTAATGAATGAGAACAGTGTTGAGTGTTGAAACTCCTCCTCCTCCACTTCTCCTCTCCTCAGTGTCTTTATAAGCTTCAGTTTCTCTTCTCCTCACACTCCAACCCTGCTCACCTCTCAGCTGGACAGTAAGGGACGTTTACACCACACACTGACAACATGCTGGGGACCCTCTGCACTCTCATCACTGCTCTAACATGTAAGATATTCTTCTCATTCCTTTCATAGCCCATATTTTCACACAGAAACCTTTCACTCATGTATTTGTCTGTGTATGTTGACAGATGTTGATGCAGTGATAGTGCTGACCCAGACGCCTGCTGTCCACACAGTTTCTACAGGACAAGAGGTTGTTCTCAACTGCAACATTGAGAGATATGATGGGAATGCTGTTAGATGGTATAAACAGGTTCCTGGTGGAGCTCCTCAGTATGTTCTGAGATTTCACTATTCTGGCAGTTCACTTTCCTTTGGAACAGGATTCTCCTCAGACCGATTCAACTCTAAAGCCTCATCAAATATAGATTACCAGTTCATCATTAAGAGGGCAGAGACAGGAGACTCTGCCGTCTATTACTGTCAGACATGGGACGACTCTGATGATGCAGCTGTATCACAGTGATTTACACTGTGACAAAAACCTCTTCACCATCTACTTCTGCTTTTATAGAGTCCGACAAATCAACTTAGGCTCTCTATTGAAAAATGAATAGAAACCATTTTCATTAATGTAATCTTAAAAGACCAATTTAATTTAAAAGTAATTTAAACTTAGATATTCAATGATGAATTAAATGTTCATTGTTTTCTGTATTTCACTTTGTTCATTTCACTGGGACTTTTTTTTTTTTTTTTTTTTTTTTTGTAGCAGACTTTGTAATGTTGTGTTCACAGGTTTTTGTGAAAATCAAGTCAGACAACTCAGCCTGTCCAGAATGTTGCTGCCAGAGTCCTAATTAACACCAGATAAGTAGAACACAGTATAAACCGGTTCACAAATCACAGCACCGGCTTCCTGTCTGTCAAAGGATATATTTTAGGTCATCTGGAAAAGGGTGACTCAGTGCTCCCAGGGTCAAAACCAAGGAACAAGCTTCCCGAATATCTGAGATCTTCTAAAATGGTCCGCTCATTTTAATCTGGGCTCAATACAATATTATTTACTGCGGCTTACCAATAGATTTCATACATAGCTTCTTAATATTTAACTATGTATTTGCTAGTTTTCTTTTTGTTTTTAATGTCTTTATATGCAGCTCTTGTGTTTTCTAAATGTCTTATTTTTCATGTATTTTCGTGCCCGTCAACTTTGAATTGCCTTGTGTCTTAATCCTGCTATAGAAAAAATCTTGCCTAGCCTTATGATTAATGAACAAAGATACACAAGAATAATATATAGAAGGATACAAACACTATAACACAAATTTAAAAACAAAGACAATGTAATTATCCTGATGTCTATAAACTGTGATAGAAAGATACACATAGATGTACCTGATATCACTATTGGAGTAGATCAAATTTCAACTCTTTATGAGCAATTATATACATTTCTCACAGGTTTCTTTACTCTCTGGTTAAACAAGTAGGCAGAGTCAGAAGTTCTGTTTCTTCTCTGCTGTGTTTGTTGGATTTCCCCCCAGCCCTCATTCTGCTCTGCTTCCTCCTTTTTATCTATTTGGGAAGGTGATTAGTACTTGCAGGTGTGCCAGGTTGCTGCAGGGGGAGGTCCTTCAGCCACACTGGAGAGAGAGACACTTCAAATAAATAAAATAAAAGTTATCCAGTATGTGTTGTTTCTTACCAACTGTGAAACTGAACAAATTATGTAACTGATTAATGAATGAAAACAGTGTTGAGTGTTGAAACTCCTCCTCCTCCACTTCTTCTCTCCTCAGTGTCTTTATAAGCTTCAGTCTCTCTTCTCCTCACACTCCAAACCTGCTCACCTCTCAGCTGGACAGTAAGGGACGTTTACACCACACACTGACAACATGCTGGGGACCCTCTGCACTCTCATCACTGCTCTAACATGTAAGGAGGCTGACTTACTGCAGCTTTGAGCTCATGTTGGATTCATCAGTCTGTGTGTTTCTTTTGACTCCATGTCATCTTGTTGTTTCCGGGTGTGAGTGGTGTGACGGTGGTGACACAGAAGCCTCCTGTTGTGACGCTGAGGAAGGAGAGACAGCCACCATGGACTGTAACCTGGGGACTGTTACTGGTAGTTCTGCTCGCTGGTATAAACAGATTCCAGGAGGAGTTCCTCAGTTTGTCTTATATTTTTATCACAGCTGGAGCTCTCCAACCTATGGTTCTGGTTTCTCCTCTCCAAAGTTCACATCTACTCATCAGTCACAATCAGATTATCGTTTGATCATCAACAATGTGGAGGAGGGAGACTCAGCAGTCTATTACTGTAAAACATGGGACACCTCGTTGATGAGTGGGTATCACAGTGATTTACACTGTGACAAAAACCTCCTCACTGAATACTTCTGCTTTTTGAGTCTTTCACACATCTTGACTGGGAGAATGCAAACAGCCAGTGCTTTCTGTAACTTTATGTCATAAAATGATACTGTAAAAATTCTAAACCCTTTTTACTAGATTTTCACATAAATATTTAGCACAACCTCATTGGCAGTTGGCTGTGATATGCACATTATTGTTGTAAAGTCATTGTTTACAGTAAATTGAATGTCTTGTAGTCACAAGAAAAGATTAAAGTTTTCAACACTTATTATATAACACACTCTTGTTTTCTGATCTAAATTCAAATAATATAAAGAATCTTTGTTGATGTAAATCCTCTGGTGCACATGTAGTAATGGTTATTATACTTACAAACTTTAATAGGCCCAAAGTTGAACTAGCACCCAAAAATTCAAAAAACAAAGACATTGTGCAAATAAAACGCAACCAAATGAAAATCTGCTGACAGATCACAAATTCACAGATTAATGAGTTCCAATAAATTGATACCAGGACTCATTCTTAATATAGATCATGTTAAGTAATGTTTACTCTGATTCATATTGAACAGTATTTATTGCACATAGCTACTGTAACATACAGCTGTAAAAAAAAAAAAAAACATGAAGCTGAAAATATAACCTAGAAATATAAGATTGTTGATATTTAATGATTCAATGACACAATGTGTAACCACAAACACAATGTAATTTATCTATGAATGAAAACAGTGTTGAGTGTTGAAACTCCTCCTCCTCCTCCACTTCTCCTCTCCTCAGTGTCTTTATAAGCTTCAGTCTCTCTTCTCCTCACACTCCAACCCTGCTCACCTCTCAGCTGGACAGTAAGGGACGTTTACACCACACACTGACAACATGCTGCGGACCCTCTGCACTCTCATTACTGCTCTAACATGTAAGATATTATACTCATTGCTTTTATAGCCCATATTTTCACACAGAAACCTTTCACTCATGTATTTGTCTGTGTATGTTGACAGATGTTGATGCAGTGATAGTGCTGACCCAGACGCCTGCTGTCCACACAGTTTCTACAGGACAAGAGGTTGTTCTCAACTGCAACATTGAGAGATATGATCGCAGTTATATCACTTGGTATAAACAGGTTCCTGGTGGAACTCCTCAGCATGTTCTGAGATTTCACTATTCTAGCAGTTCAATTTCCTTTGGAACAGGATTCTCCTCAGACCGATTCAACTCTAAAGCCTCATCAAACATAGATTACCAGTTCATCATTAAGCGGGCAGAGACAGGAGACTCTGCCGTCTATTACTGTGATACATGGGAATACTCTGCTGCTGCAGCTGTATCACCGTGATTCACAATGTGACAAAAACCTCAATGAGAAACTCCCTGCAACGTTTATGAATTCTGAGAACATTTTCACATTTGTTATTCTCAGTTTGATTCTGATAACTGAACTTTTAACAGAACCATGAAAACAAAAGGATGCAACAGAAGATTCAGAACCAGTCCTCAAGTCCAGCAGTGTTTCTGAATGTAAGCAGACTGATGAAGTGAATGAGATGTTGACAGTGAAAGTTGGTCTCAACAGGATGTTTCAGTTCCACTCCCCTCATTAGTGAGAGTCAGGAGGTTTTTGTACAGCCATGTATACAAACTGAATCACTGTGGTATTCGGACAAGGCACCAAGCTGATTGTGACAAGTAAGTTCCTTTTAACTGATTATAAAAAAGGACAGATTTTCTGATTGTAATTTGTACGAATAGAAAATTAATATTATATTTGTTACTATGTTTTCAAAGCATTTAATACATTATTAAATCATTATAGGGTTGATGTTGTTTTCTCAGCTTTCAAACCAAGCTGTTTTGGAAGAAAACTGTAAGTTTTTCAAATGTTTTATAAAAAGTTCAGTACAGTTATTTTCATAACTTGTGACGAACTTCAAAATTACAAAACAATTCTAGCCCTGTTACATAATCTATTATGATAGCATTATAATATCAGAACTACACTGCTGAGAATCAGCACACTCAGTATTCAAATATCATTTTGTAAGTCACAGAAGGTGACTATCCAACAGCATATTTTGTTTGCTCTAAAAAATGTTTTTAACTGCTTATGAAGCAATAGTTATTAAGCAACTCCTTATCCAAATGTGTAGATTAGCTAATTATTATATAATGATTACTTTATTAACAAGTTAGTGAGGAACATGTTAGGAATGATTTGATAATTGAATAATCGTTAATAATTACTGCTCTAACAATTTATATATATGTATGTATATAATGATGAATTACATTAGTAACCTAACTACGCAGTATTATGTATTACTTTACTTGGGGTGCACAGAAACAGTAATTCATTTACATAGGATATAATATAATATAGTAATTTGTTCCTCACATGTTTCTGAATTAACTCATCATTGGCTCAAATTTGAAGAGTTATTAATTAGTGACTATTTGTTCTTTAGTAGTTCCTCATTAATTCCTAATTTGTTGGCCTTGTAACTACTCAGAATTATCTGTCCTTTATTTTTAATTTTGCTCAATGATTTGCTTTAAGGTTATTTTAATGAATGTCCTTCATGTATTTTCAGGCTCCAGCCTCTCTCCTCCCTGTCCTGACAGTCTTCCCTCCGTCCAGCGCTGAGCTCCAGTCCAACACAGCCACTCTAGTCTGTCTGTCCATTTTGCCCAGTGGGTCTAAGGGTTTTGCAGATGTGAGCTGGGTGTCTGGTGGGAGTCTAGTGAGCAGTGGGATCTCTACCAGCACCGCTGTTCAGAAACCAGACCAGACTTTCCAAATCAGCAGCTATCTGGCCATCCAGACGTCAGACTGGAACATGGATAAGGTTTACACATGTAAAGTGTCTTTGGGCTCCCAGACTTCAGAGAAAAACATCAAGAAGTCAAACTGTCCCGCTGAATAATAGTAGAGGAGCAGAATGACCGTTTCTAACCTGCTTCTTTACTGTTTGTGCTGTTTGCTCATTACAAGGTTTACATGTTAGAAAAGATGTCTGCATGCTTGTAATAAATGTTGTGACAGTTAGGTGGAGGTGTTGTATCAGCTTTGCAACTGCTGCATTTTTCAAGATTCATTCAATAAAAAAATACAAAAAACTGTGAACAAAAATTTTTTCTATTTATTTGATTTATTGAAAACATAATTTGAAACAATAATGTTCTACACAATATTGTAACCTTTACCAAATTACAGATATATTTATAATTCTTACTTGAATGTGTATATTTAAATTCTGAAAACTACATTATTATTAGATGTTAATTTACAATAAAAGAACAACAGAGAGATTAATAGTACGTTGCCTGCTTTTAGTTGCTTGCAGTAGTTCAGAGTTTAGAAAAATCTGATAAAATGAGAAAATGAAACTGAGTTCTCATCCTCCTTCAGTGAAGCATCACCTCTCTACTCCTCCCTCTCTTCCTCCCCAGGATGCACCTGCAGGCCTCCTCTCCTTATTTATAGCTGCATGTAAATGAAGAGGTCAAGGGGCAGCTATCACTTTGTGACATATAATGTGTGTATCTTATCTACAGAGCCAAGACCTATATTCTGCAAAGGATATCCACTTTCCAGACTTGGATATTATATAATGGTGTTTTTAATTCTGAAGTTAAGTTGCAGTAAATCTTTATCTGATATTTTGAAAATACACCTTAAACTAATTCCATTAATTAACAACTGGACACAGCAAAAATACACAACTCTGAAACTGATTTTCTCACATCATTAATTTCATAACGTTACTTTTATAAACAAACATGGAATGTAATAAATACATACATACAATTATCTGCACAGATATGAGACCAACAAATCAGTAATGTCAGAAAACATATTATAAGGAGTATGCTGCTTTGAAATGAGTGAAATCTAGCAGTGTCATAAGCAGACTGAAAGTATTTTATTTCCAAAGCTCCTCCTCCTGTCAGTCACTCTCAGTTTCAGTGTTGTATTAAATTGCTCCTCCAGCACCTCCTCTCCTCATCCTCCAAACCCTCTAATCTGTCAGCAGTACGCTCACTTTCCAAGTTACAAGGCCATTCTCAGCACACACTGACAACATGCTGGGGACCCTCTGCACTCTCATCACTGCTCTAACATGTAAGGAGGCTGACTTACTGCAGCTTTGAGCTCATGTTGGATTCATCAGTCTGTGTGTTTCTCTTGACTCCATGTCATCTTGTTGTTTCCAGGTGTGAGTGGTGTGACGGTGGTGACACAGAAGCCTCCTGTTGTGACGCTGAGGAAAGGAGAGACAGCCACCATGGACTGTAACCTGGGGACTGTTACTAACACTTATGCTCACTGGTACAAGCAGATTCCAGGAGGAGTTCCTCAGTATGTGTTGAGGTTTTATCACAGTCATAGCTCCCCAAGCTATGGTTCTGGTTTCTCCTCTCCAAAGTTCACCTCTACTCATCAGTCACAATCAGATTATCGTTTGATCATCAACAATGTGGAGGAGGGAGACTCAGCAGTCTATTACTGTAAAACATGGGACAGCTCTGTCAGTGAGTTCGTATCACAGTGATTTACACTGTGACAAAAACCTCCTCACTGAACACTTCTGCTTTTTGAGTCTCTGACACATCTTTACTGGGAGTGAAACATCCAGCTAATGTTTTCTGTAACTTTCCCACTTATACATAAAAACATATCTTTAAACTTTAAACTCTTTCATTGGATTCTCACATAGATCCTTCCTAGTGGTAGTTACATACATTACGCAATGCGTACATGCTATACATGTCTCTTGTCACTCATCATGAATGAATTAAGTTAAAGAAAATGTGTCTCATTTCCTGATCCAACTTTAGGAAATGTAAAAAATCATTCTTGATATAAATCCTCTGCTGTAGTGATGATTATTACTTGTATTAAAACTGTAGTTGCATTTTGTTTCATAACCACGTTCAAAGATCATCTGGCAACCAAATGTTACAAAAACTAAAAGTGATTTCATGTACAGCTAAAACACAACCAGATGAAGATGTTTCATTCACCTGACAATATGTCATATTGAATATAGTGACTCTTCAGTGAGAGAAAATGAACTGAGACGAGAAATAAACAGCTTCATGAACTCTATACCCTGCTTATTACTGTTCTCGTATACTGTAATAAACAAACAAAAACTCATGGATAAAATAATATTCAGCAGGTGATCATATCAAGTTAATTTCTTGCTAATAACACAGCTTGTTTAAAAGACAAACAATTTATAGAAAGAGTAATAATTTTGATGAAAATAATATGAGGAAGGATTCCAATAACAACAGGAACAACAAAAATATGACTTTCACTATCCATCAGGATTCATCTGAACAAACTGGATAAACACTCAACATCATAGCTTTGATATTGATAATTGAGAACTTAAACATTTGCATTTAAACCATGGGTAACACTTTATAATGAGTACACACTATAAAGCATTAGTTAAGCATGAATAAATAATGAATTCATCATTTATAACGCATGAATACACATTAGTATGTAGTTTATAAACACAGGTTGAAAGCTAACGTTAGCTTGTCAGTAGCTTCAGGTGCCGACCGGTACCGACCCGCCGCTGCTAGGCGCTCACCTCGCCCGGCTAGACGAGACTAGACTAGGTCGGCTTAGCCACCGCGGGCGGGTCGGTAACGTTAGTAACGTTAGTAACGTTAGTCGGGGAGCGAGGGCAAACACCTGCAGCTGCTGACAAGCTAAATTTAGCTTTCAACCATAATGTGTGCTACCAAACAAAGACACATACTCTCCCACTAGAGCCGCTGACGGCCGCCGACTCCAATGTGCTTCTCCATGCTCCCCTTGGCTGCACTGTCAGAAACCTCTGAGAGTTAACGTAAATATGACGTAACATCACGTTGATGACGTGCTGAGAGCGGGAGCTCAACGTACACGTCCCAAACAGATAAGATCACAACAATAGCATGTCTTCATAAACCACCCTTGTTCGTCTCCATACAATATGTTGGGAAGTTGCAGTAAATATCAATACAATATGTTCTATATCCCTTTGTGTTGTGTCTCTCCTTCGTCTGTTAAGATAACTGAACATTTCGTGAGTCTGGAGTCATTGTCAGCCTTTATATCTCATTTGTAAATGCTTAATAAGCCATAGATAGTGCTCACTTTAGATGAGCTCGCACAAAATACTTAATTAACGAGTAGTAAGTGCTTTGTAACTGTGAATTCCTGCATTAATAACTGTTTATAGGCCATCAGTAGAAAATGAATTTGTTGTGAGTTTTATAGAACATCTGCTAACACAGTCACTAATCATTAATACATGTCTGAATAGTGGATGTGCAAGTGCATGCAGAAATGTACAGTACAATGAAGAGTAAAACATTTATAACTGTGATTATAAACCACATAGTAATGACTATTTACAGCAGAATCAGGCTTTATAAATGATGGATTCAGTATTTACTAATCCATAACTAATGTGCTTATCAATGATGAATAAAACATTTTTAACTGTGTTTATAAACTACATAGGCTACTAATGTGTATTCATGCGTTATAAATGATGAATTCATTATTTATTCATGCTTAACTAATGCTTTATAGTGTGTACTCATTATAAAGTGTTACCAAACCGGGTAGTCTTCGTTATTGATTTCTTTTTTACTGGACCTATTTACAACATAGTCCGATTTAACATAAATAATAAATGAATGAAGGAGTGTTTGAGTGTGGTCAGTCCTTAATGTAAAAATACAGAAAGTTCAAAGAGAACATTCATGTGATAACACAAGTGGATTTAATACTCAAAGGACATCAGCAGACTTCTAAAAGCAATGTGAAGAAATGTTTGTTATGAAACAGGACATTTCACATGAGTTATGCAAAACCTCCCATGCATGATTTTGTTGATTAATGACTGAAAGAGAATCTGAAAAAATCTGATTATTATTGAACAATGTTTACTGAACTTGATGTAACAGACAGCTGTGAGAAAGCATGTACATGAAAACTAATGAAGATGTATTTAGTATGTGATTATATTTACTATTTCTTGAAACATGAAACAGAAGAACACTTTAAAAAGAACATTTGTACCACCACTGAGATCATTCACACTGATAAAAGGACATCGGCAGGCCTCCAGTTACATCAGGAACAATGACAAACACACTGATTTGTGGATATGATGTGAAACACATACATTTATTAATGAATGAGAACAGTGTTGAGTGTTGAAACTCCTCCTCCTCCACTTCTCCTCTCCTCAGTGTCTTTATAAGCTTCAGTCTCTCTTCTCCTCACACTCCAACCCTGCTCACCTCTCAGCTGGACAGTAAGGGACGTTTACACCACACACTGACAACATGCTGGGGACCCTCTGCACTCTCATCACTGCTCTAACATGTAAGATATTCTTCTCATTCCTTTTATAGCCCATATTTTCACACACAAACCTTTCACTCATGTATTTCTCTGTGTATGTCGACAGATGTTGATGCAGTGATAGTGCTGACCCAGACGCCTGCTGTCCACACAGTTTCTACAGGACAAGAGGTTGTTCTCAACTGCAACATTGAGAGATATGATGGTTATTATGTCAGTTGGTATAAACAGGTTCCTGGTGGAGCTCCTCAGTATGTTCTGAGATTTCACTATTCTGGCAGTTCACTCTCCTTTGGAACAGGATTCTCCTCAGACCGATTCAACTCTAAATCCTCATCAAACATAGATTACCAGTTCATCATTAAGAGGGCAGAGACAGGAGACTCTGCTGTCTATTACTGTCTAACATGGGACAACTCTGCTAAGGATTACGTATCACAGTGATTCACACTGTGACAAAAACCTCCTCACTGAATACTTCTGCTTTTTGAGTTTCTGACACATCAACTAATGCTCTCTATAACTACCCTACATAAGGATTTAAAAATGACTAAAAAACAATTTCCACAATCTAATCTTAAAAGATTAATTTTACATACATGTTAACTTCCACCACTGAACATTAAGAAGTAATTCATTCAGTGTTTGTTGTTTTCTGCTTTCCTTTTAGTTCTCTTAACTTGCACAGTGAAAAACACCAATGAGAGATAAACAAAGATAAGCATAAAGATTCATTCTTCAGCTTGGGA